CCCTGATATCTAGTGTCATAGTTGTGCAATGAGTGGTGGCTAACATGAGTTGTGAATTGAGTTGATAAAAAATTAATGACTAATTTATGAAGAATTATTAGTGAATGTCTTTTGGGTGCATGAAAACGGCTTTTTAAAAGCTTGGATACATCAGCTAAGGCAAGGAACTGAATTGCACCGTCTCTAACCACAAAATACATTTGTTGGGCATCACAAAGTGAACAAATGGCATGTTGGCTCGATAGCACCATGGTGCAACTGCTGGAATACAATGTACTTTTGCAGATTATGGTCTGTCCCTTTCATTTCCAAACAGCTGTTAAATCTAGTACTTGTACAACATGCCCTTTATAAGATAGAGGGCACAAATAACACATGACAAATTTGGATATCCATGGATTGTTATTCTTGGTGACAGGTGTGGCTGTTCAACCAACGTCCAGCATTCCACAAAAAGCAGCCTTCCTGGGATGTTCACATACTACAATGTCTAAAGTTAAACAAAAGGATGATTTGATGAGCAAGAAGACATCCAGTTTTGTAGGCAAAATCACCTTGTCAATAATAGATGTTAGTGGTCAATGCCCAGAATCATTTCAGCTAACAGGAAGGTCACCAAATTCAAAAAAATAACAGCTCAATGTAACAGCAGTGTGCAGAATGGCTTCTCTCATGATATCCATGAAGGGGATCCAATAAAAGGGGGGGGGGGGTGCAGCCTTCAGTCTGAAAAGTCACACAGGCTGGCACAGAGATCTGACTTTGGCTTTGACCTTGACCACTCCCTACCCCTTGCTTTTATCAATCAAGCCCATCCTTTCTTTTTCTATAATATTAGCCTGAGGAAGCTGGGGAGCCAATCGACCCAACAGTCTTCATCTGCAGCCTTTCAAGGCTACAAAATATACACCCTGTACAAGTAAAGTACACCACAAGACACGCCAAGTCACACCTACTACGTAATTTTATAAGTCCATATGAAATTAAATATGGAAGTTTAACATCAACTGCACTCTGAAACAATAAATTGACTTAGGACAAATATATTGATAAATGTACAGTCATGCTACATAACGATGTTTCAGTCAACGACAGACCACATATATAACACCAGTCCTACAAGATTATAATGCAACTGTTTTTGAATTATTCTGTAAGAATAATGTATAGAATGTTTTACTACACACTCATGTAAAGCACCTTGGGCCAACTCTGTTGTGAAAGGCGCTATATAAAAATAGATTGCATTGATGTACCTGCAGAAAAGTTGAATGACAAAGAAGCTCCATATACACGGTGCTGGAGCGGGATTCAAGCCCTCAATGTTGGACTTGAGTGGTAACAATACTACCCACTTATAGCCACCGACAGATAAACGGGATGATGTATGATGATGTGTCTTTCCTTGGTTCAGTCAATTTTAGTAGTTGCATAAAGTGATTGATTGAGTGCAAGAGACCCAGACATCAAATTAGCAGATAGCTAGGAATGCCCATGTTTTCGATGCCAACATTTTTAATGTTCTATTTGGATACCAGTCAGAGAAGGTTGTATTTGTCCTAAGGGTAAGATTGCAGAAGTAAAAGCCAGGTCCTTCCATCATAAGTCATAATTTATGAAGATTTGTTTTAGACCTGGTGACTCAGCCCAACCCCTGTTTAAAAGTACTTTGTGGTTTAGTACTGATGCTTTCTCAGAAAGCAGAGCGCTTTTCCCTCTGGCTTATTTGTTAAGCAGGTGCCAAGATCACTGCAGAGGAGTCTTCCCGGATCCGTGGTGTCCTCTTGAGACGCTTCAAGGAAATCCTGGTTTTGTGTTTAGAGAAACCATTCTGTGCTGCACTATTGTGCTTGGGTGTTATTTTTGCACTTTCTGTTAACTTTAATGAGTCTGGCCATTAATCACTGACCCTGGTACCAGCAATCATACCGTATTCAAAATCGGTTAAATCGCAACACTTAGCCAATGTTGGCCTGACAGTAACAGAACCTACAGTATATCAGGGATCCAGGTTTTCTGCTTCTTACGGTCTTGCATTGGCCTTAAATACAAGCAGTAATCTGGCCACAGACTTCAGTCTTTTGAAGTTTGTAACAGCCTTGTTTGGTTGAGGCAGTTTGGCTGTGGAGCTGATTCCTTTCTTCCTGAATTCTTTGGAGGCCAATACCTTTGTGATGTCTAGGAAAAATTTATCTCTGTCGGTGAGCATTGATGTACAACCACAAAGCTCACCAGTGCAGTTTATTCATGTTTGGTTTAAGCTGTCATGTCATGTCGAGACTCTTCCCCTTAACAACATAATTTTGCATTTTTTGAGCACTGACTCACTGTTACACAATGTTTTTTTTTTTTTGGAAATAGTCCTAATCATTGGGCATATTTAAAGTCAATTTTCATGTGGTGTTTATAATGAATTCCCTATTCACTGTCCTGTCAGACATCAAAAACATTATTACTTCACTATTATTTACAGCAAAATTAATAATTAAATACCCTGCAGTTATGACCTGGATTACTGGTTGGAAGATGGATGGAAGAATGCTAGAATACCATCAATATCAAAATTCAGCAGAATCCACCATTTATAATTACATTTATTTTATTGAGCAGATGCTTTTGTTCAATGTGAGGTCGAATGGTACATTAGAAACATACATGCTGTCATAGAGTCGATAAGTGCAGATAGGCTGAGCTTCCAGTGAATGCCCAGGTACGAGTGTAAGCAGGACTGGAACAAGAGCTAAATAACATCTTCCAAACAAATGAGAACCTAATGGGAAACCTATTTAATGAGTGGAAAGAGCAACATTAAGACCAGTCAGGAAACATGAAGTAGTATTAGGCTAGTAGAGGAATTTCTGGGACAGATGGGACTTGAGGCATTTCTTGAAGGTGGAGAGGGAGTCTGATGCCCTGTATGATGCTGGAATGAGCTGCAGAACCAGAGAACCACACAAGAGAAACATCTAGTGTGAGACTTCTGGCGTGGTGGTGAGATCTCCGTTTGTTTGCCGACCGAAGAGGTTGAGACGTGACAGTTTAGGTCTTAAATTTGCCTGTATAATAACCTAACAGCAGTTCCAAATTGGTAATGAGATAATCAAGCCTGCTCTCTCAGCCAGTGGCAATGAGCATTCAGTCTTAAACAGAGCAATGAAAGAGATCATATTTCCCCCATGCTGTGTGCACTGCATTGGCTGCCAGTTAGATATATCCTAATGGTCAAAACTTTGGATACACCTAGCATAATTGACATTACCCTTTAAAAATTACTACACAAATGGCACTGCTTAATTCATATTTGTTTATTTTCTGTTTATTTGCTTTTAAAAATTGTATGTTTATTTTATTTTTATTTTCTTTCTCGTTATGTACAGCATTTTGGTACAACTTCAGTTGATTTTAAATGTGCTATATAAATAAATTTGACCTTGAGCAGTGAACACTGCTCCTGCTCTTGGAGTGCAGGGCTCAGAGGTGAGGTTGATTCAGATTTTAGCTTGTGGGGCTCGGTTCAGATAATCTGTGGTTTCACAGGGTTTTTTTGTCACGGTTGCTGGCATGGTCACTGGCTTAGTGGTTTTGGGTGCCAGCGTTTCCAGGTCTGTGGTTCTTAGTGACCAGTGTCTTGGTCCAGGTCTGCTTTTGTCTTGTTCCTGGATTTGTGGTCCTGATTAGCCAGCGTTCCACAATGGTTGTGCTGGGCAACTGGTGCCATGTTTTTATGTTTGCTGTGATAATTGTGCCTTTGTGTTTCAGCCCCACTTCCTGTTTCCCGGGTCTTGGTTCCTGTTCCTGGTTTTCCAGTGCTCTGCACCAGAGTCTGCCTTATGTTTTTTTTTTTTTTGTAAAAGCCAATACATACATTTATCTAACCAACTTCAGCGAGTCTTAGCTATGGCTTAAAGAGAGAATTATATTTTAACAAAATAATAATTGGATTACATTTCTTTTATATAGTGCCTTCCTTAAAAAAAATACAAAGATTTAGAAATGTAATTTCAGGTTCATTTGAATCATATTAAGAGAATCATAATGGGCCCTATTAACATTATATTTTATGCAGCATGTTAGGGGACAGGAAAGGAAACCTTATAGGTTAAATATACTACTGGGGAAACAGGACCCCTGCAAAGGCACCTTTTCCACGCCTAGTTTCATTCTTCTTAACATTCCATGATTTTGCTTTTTTTTTCTTTTTAATCGATGGAGGGGAAATTTCGGTACAGATTCTCTAGAACTCTGTCACACCATGCTGTTTTGAAATCTCAAAAATGAAAGGCCTAGATTGGTGGACAACTTTTAAAACTGAAATATTGTTATTTGATAGTCAACCTAATTATGACTCAATTTAGTGGCGGCATTTGTCATTGTGATTGTGATGTTCATATGTTCCCCATTCCTTGCACTTACAGACATCAGATGCGTATCAGATGCTAAGGGCTAACTCTTGCTCTTTTTATTTATTTATTTATTTTTTTACTTTACTATTTTAAAATTTTATTACATAATCTGGATCAATGTGTTTTCTTATATACTCATTCCTAAAACAATAAAAGAATAGTGAGAAATTACTTTGATTGTTCTTATTTTGTATTTCATGTAAAAATATGTCCTCTGTGTGGAAAAACACATTTTAGTGAAAAAAAAATTCTTTAGTGCTTATTGTTTCCCTCATATGGGAACAGATAAAAACAGATACGTCCAAACTAAAGGCCATAACCCAAGCGAGGTTACATTTCTCTAGTTAGGAATTATAAAACACTTCGATGGATTACCAAGTCCACAGCAGGACAGCCATGTTGGGGTTCGGTACTGCACCATTCACCCACATACCGTATTGAAAGGAAGCCCAGGTGTCAACGATTACGGCAGGTAAGGAATGTGGTTATCATCATCTCCCATTGGCCTCAGGAATCACAACTTCACCACGAAGCGAAGTGTCGCTTGAAAGTAGATATATTTACACAAAATCAACTTGCTTCTAGCTATAGGAGAATTGTGGATTTAAATATTCTAAGTGCTACGTACTGGACAATCGGTACACCTATTTATAGTACACGAAGCAGGAAGATTCATATGACAATCTGGTTTTATTCAGGATCATGTAACTGGTTTGGGTTGTAAATTTCCATTGAACATTTGGAAGTCAGACAACTATCTCGCTGGCTAGCTGCCCATTACTATACTAGCTGGACCAATGTTTTGGAAGAACACTTCGGCGGTATGACAACCGTTTGAAGAACAAGAGAGGATTATTAGATACCACACCTGGAAAGCTTTAGGATCTAATTAAATAAGTTCCAACACCATTTCAGTTATCCTTTGATCGCGTTGTGTACCAAAAGCTGTAGGCTACCACCCATTCAGCGATTTATGCAAAATAGCTGCCGTGGAGCATAAATATCCTCTTAAAAACTTTCCGAGACACGTAAGTGAAACATTTCATAAAAAGAATTATTTAGCACATCCGTTGACATAAATCCAAGTTTTATTTGTTGAGAGGTAAGATTCTAATTAAGACGTAGATGACCGCGGCTATAATTAGGAGAAAACCGTGCAACTCGGGGTGCATGTTGTTGTCTTGTCCCTCTCTTCTCATATTACTCATTTGCACTTCTTTCTTGCATTTCTTTTTCAGAGAAGAGTCTTATAGGGATCGCAGATGAGGGCTCCTTCCGGCGCGTTTCCTCATTCTTCTGCTTCATACTTATTAGGGAATCGGATTGTGCGGCTGTTTACTCCAGGGCGCAGTTATGTTGTAGAATCACTTGCACATTAACGTAATACGCTGAGATTCCTATAGTCGCATGGAAATACTGGCTGCAGGGTGAGTTCGGTACAACTGTGTGTAATGTCTGAATTCTCTGTACATGAGTAAAAGCATTTATGCGTTGCTGCAAAACTCATCGGACATTTACTGTAAATGGCGGATTATGACAAAAATGGCAAAAATGTATTTTGATTGTTTTTTTTTTTGGTTAACCTATCCAATTAAAGAGTCGATGTCAAGTGCAGCAAATTGTGCATTCCAATGGTATTAATTAACGTGGCTGGAGTGATAAATCGCGGAGGTGATCGAGAAAGTTTGAAAGCTGCTGGAAATTGAAGGCATATTTGAAAATATATAGAATAGATATTGCGCAGGTATTTACGTTGTTAATGTAAATATGTGTGAAAATGTTTTCCGAACGTTCAGTATATATATTTAATAATTAAACTAATAAATTATGGATATTAGGCCAATTTTTATTTCTGAAATATATGCAAGACGCTAAGAACTATAATTATAATTATAAATTTTGATAAGTTTAATTTGTAAAGAATTTTATTTTCACAATGGCAGTTAACGAATTCTTAATAGAAATATTGAAATATAATTATAGTTTTATGTATTGTTATAATTAAGTAAAGTGTGTTGAATAGTCTGGACTGTTTAATAGTCTGGAATTTAATTGATGTAGCCTAATTATGAGTTAAAAAACGAAGGTGTGATAAACGGTGCATTTTCAAACATGATGACATCCAGTGGTGAAAACGGGAATGGCGTCGATCGAGAATAACTCCCTAACCCTTAATTATACGTATTTAGACATTAGCCATTTCATCTTCCAAAATAGAATTTGGACTTCCCGGGTAAATAACTAGTAGAAAGATTTCAAAATCATTTATACTGGCCTCAGACTGACCCCTAAAGAGTACATTTTAACATATGGTAAACTTCCGCTTTACAATGTGGTTGCAGGTTTCACTCTGGTTATCTTAGGTAAATCCACGTCTAAGCGCATCAAGTAGACATGACCTCTGTAATGTCTGAGTGTCTGATGGATTAGGTTTGGGAGATTTTAAATGTCTGTTGATCATCAACCCCCTCTACTCTTAAATGGGTGGATTGATTTAGGAAAAATAGATTTCTTTGGACTGAAAAGTTAAATGTCTTCTAAGTAATATACATGTCAGTCATGGTTTTTGTTTCTCTTTTGTGTGTTATAAGGTTTCTAAACATTTCAGTTTTCTGGTGAGGGGAAATTTTGTAATTTCTCTGAAAGATTATTTTGCTTTCTCCTAAAGCCTGCAGTCTATTACCAATTATTATCCATCAAAGTCTGTAATTATACATTACAATAATTTATCTAATGCCTCTGAGCTGTCCTTAACCTTCATATCCAGAAACACAGCTTAATAAAGCCCATCCCATTTGTTTTGGGTGTAACCGTCTTGTCTGAGTTATATATAAGATTTAATGTAAATGCAGTATAATGTTTTCAGAGGCATCTTACATATGTGGCCGAATGAGTGTATGAAGATTCACTGCTCTTTGGATAATGCTGTTGCCTTGTTAAATCAATTGCGATCTGAGCCTGACATCTGACATCTTAATTTTCTCAATTGCCAGCTTACACTTATCAAATTATATTCGCACAGGATCAGTTGTGTGAGGTTTTGCTGCTTTGATGATGCCGTGTGAGGTTTCATACGGGATCCGAATGCCAACATCTAACTTTGAACACTGACGCTCATGTCCAAACAACAGCTTTTTATCCTGTTTAACTGTGATGCCATATTTGACCTACTGTACATAAAATGCTGTGTAGTTTTCTGCAAAGGTTTGATGAAATTCTGTGTTTAGTGAATGTCTTTTATGTTCGAAGAGGTGCAATACATAAAGCCTGCATGTGACATTGGTCTGTATCATGAAGTGAAATATAATCATTAATCATCTTTTGAGATTTTTTTTGACAAGTGTGTGATTATTAAGGATGATTCCAAATTTCGGTTTGTGCTTTTTATTATCAAAGCTTACGGTGACATACAAAGATTTGTATCAAGCCAAAATGAACTGTAGACCTAAATCGTCGTTTGAGTTCTGATGAGTATAATGACGGTCAAATGAGTCGATAGTCAGTTTTTATAGTTGGTGGTGCTTATGACTTTTTCCATGACTATTGTTTCATTAAGCCGTATGGTTCTGTGGTGCCTGTAGGTCTAGTGTCACTAAAAATTGTTTTGTAGCTGATAGAAGGAAACTCCTTTAAATTTATGGGTGGGACTGGACTGGGGACTGCATACTCAGTATTGTCGTCATGCTGAAATTGCGAAAGAATTAAATCTCCCCAGTGCTTTTGCTTAGTCCCACCCATGAATCTGTTTTTAGTTTGTCATCTGGTTTGAACTGATTTGTACTTGATGCTCTCAAACTCTGCTCAACAGCTGTAACAAGAAGCCAGTCTGAGACCGTAATCCACGATGTCACAGGACAGGAAGTATGCTGCCGTGTCCCTCTGTCCTAAAAGCCAAGACATCCTGACACTTGATGCCGTAGGTTACCCTTCACTGTTTGGTAAAAGACTGCATTGTGGTTTATTAACGCTTCTCACAGTATTCCTAATGCTTTCGCCATTTTTATCCTTTGCTATAAAAGGGTGGCCATCCATACCAACCGGGCGTCTGCTTCCAAGATGGCATAAGACGGGTGGACTATGTCCTGACCTACAATGTCAAGAAGTCCTGCAGGGCACTACGGCCCTCGCTCAGCATCACGGCGAACGGCTTCTTCCGCAGGCTGCGTCGCTCCCTGCAGTGCTGCACAGGGCAGCCTTCCGGGGCCAACCGAGACAGCGCAGTGGAGAAGGCAGCCTTGGACCAGCAGGAGGAAGAAAAGCGCCTTTTGCGAGATGAGTTTGAGGATAACCTGAGGGAGATGGGCCTTGAGTTGGAGAAGGATGAACATGTGAGCATCTTGCATGTTTCCATTCATGTTTGTACTTTTACTAGCTATGAGTAAGAATTTCTAGCCAAGTGTAGCCTTTTTTGGCCCCTCCTGAGTGACCAACCAGGAATTCAATTGGTGACCCATTGACATTGATCTGAGCTCCAGGGCCCAACAGTGACATCACTCTACCAACCACAGGATTTTAGCCATCAACCTCCTGAGTCATAACTTGCAGTGCCACACACCAGCCAATATTGGAACTTATTATTAATATTAACACTTTTGATATAGTTTATGTTGAATATGCCTGAATATTCCCAAGCATGATGCAACAGGCCACATTGCCTATAGGTGTGAATGGGGTGCATGTGCCCTGCGATGGGTTGGCACGCCCATCCTGGGCTATTCCTTGCCTTGTGCCCGTAGCTTCCAGGATAGGTCTCAGACCCCCACAACACTGCACAGGACAAGCAGGGATGGAAAATGGCTGGATGATGCACTAGAGACACATTTGCATGATAGCGATTTATTCTGTTAAACTGTTGATTATTTATATTCGCATATTATGTAAAACAGACGCATTTGCTTGGCAGCCATTCTTAGTTCTCGGTTACATTGTTAATCATTTTGTCATTTTTTATTTACCCAAAAATGTTTCCCATTAGGCACTCTGAAGTCTTCTATAATTTGCATTGAATCCCTGCTGTAGATTTCCTTTCGCATATTGTATTTTAGTTTATATACTGCTGTGGCTGTCTTCTTACCTCTGAATTTTTAGTAGATTGCGCTACCTGAGTGAATAGACAGTTGGGTAGTTCACATTCAGGCTGGGCCTTGATTCGATGTTCATTAGCTCGCTGTCAATTTTAAATTGAATCAGCTTTAAAAATGTTCCATTGCATTGTCACAATATAACGATGGACTGTGACTGAGAAAGATATCAGGATGTGTTGTTCCGTGTGTGAGTCCTGGTTCTGTGGATTGCTTCAAAGCATACTGGTATTTCTATTTTCAGTCGAAGATTCCTGGAGTGGGATTCCTGAAGATACACGCTCCATGGGATGTCCTTTGTCGTGAAGCTGAGTTTCTGAAACTTAAGATGCCCACCAAAGAGGTAGACTTTATTCCCCCCATTTGTCATAAGTAGCTAAAGAGTCTTCAGCAATGTCTTTCTTTTTCAGACATCTGATCTTTGTGCAGGTTTACCAAGCCACCTCTCGGAGCAAAATGGTGAAGCTGAAAGGGTTCATCGAAGATCTTACCAAGCCATTGCTTCCAGATGTAGAGGAGAGTAGGACCCACAATCCAAAGCATGTCTGCTATCCCTTTTCTAGGGAAAAACAACACTTGTAAGTACAATGTAATATATGCTAGGAAGCTATGTGCATGCTGGGACTTGTAGTAGTTGTAGATCTTTATTGTCATCTCAGCCATATACACTAAAGCACCCAGTGGGACGAATTAATGTCCACCAGGGACCAAAGGTGCAACAGCACACCCAGACAGATCAACAGTGAGGATAACTGGGGGCAGGGGGAATAAATAATACCTGTGCATTTATCTCTAAATATACATATAGTTAAAAAATAAGATAAAAACTATCTAAAAAGACCTTTAGGAGAGGGAGCACATCAGGGAGGCTGTGACAATACAATATACGTTGTACAGCAATAGACAATAGACTATGGACTTGTAGACTTATAGATTTGTAGTGTGAGAACCAGAGATGCATTAATACATACTAGGTAGGGTTTAGCTCAGCTGGTTAGAGACAGGTGCCTGTGTACAGAAGGTTGTGAGTTCATATCCCATGGCTAATATAAAGTAGTTTTAAAATACTGGGGCCTTTATCCTCGGCTTCTCCAGGGACGCTATATGACTCAGAGGTTTATTCATGTCTGTAATGCTCTGGGCAAAAGCATCTACTAAGTGAGTAAATCTGTTTTTAAACAAGTAGTGCTTCTTTTTGGGGATGAGAATTATGCTTAAAGAATATTATTGATGACATTTCCCAAAATGGTGGGCCTGTAAAATGGAGGAGGAAACACCCATCTCACATGTGGGGTCTTTGTGTTTTTACACAGGTTTGATTTGTCTGACAGAGAGAACTTTTTTGACACTAAAACAAGAGGTTTGATAGTAAGTATTCCCAGACTGGTAAATGTTTGGGATGAATACTGTTACCAGACCTGAATTACCTTAGTCTATCCATCACAATGAATTAGATTTTATTACTAAAATACTGACAGAATTTTTTAGTAGATGTTTTGGCCGTTTGGCATATAACACTGTTAATCATGTTTCTAGAGCAGGAGAACTTCATTTTGGATCTTAATTAAAGTGAAAATAAGTTTGTTTTGTTATGAATGTTTTGTTAATTTGCCAGTTACATACAGTATTTTAATTGCACAAGAAACTGAGTATGTAAAAATTTAAATAGATAGTTAAATTTAATAGATCACCTTATGAGAGTTGGTTTAAATAAAGTGATTTATACATACAATGTAGTGTGTGGCAGTTGTATGTATATATTGTCTATATCTGTTTTAGGTGTTTGAGGTGTTAAAACGCACAAAATGCATGAGCAGTGAAGATGACGTGGGTGAGATGTTCTAACTGTTGTGTTTTTTTAACTAGGATTGGGAATCAGGGCTATCTTGCCCTGTACTGGTTAATGGATAATGATAGACTGGTGCATCATTCTGTGTTATGAATAGCATAAAAACGGTTACTAGACTGTGAAATGAAATGTAACTTGTTGTACTTAGTCAGTGTGGCACACCCTAAGTGCAAGCCGGACAACTGTGAGAAAAAGGATCTTTTTCAAGTAACATACCTATTATTTTTTTATCCTTTCAAGGTTTTCCCAGCCTTCTTGCTAAAGGGATTTACACCAGCGCCTATCCTTTACACGATGTAAGTGTGTTTTACTTGATGAATGAACATGATATTTAAGATTCCAAGACAAAGTGAAATTGGCCAATGAGCTTTTGCCAGAGGCTTTGGTGGTGAAGCTGGCTTAGGGCATCACATGGGTTTCAACCGGGACTGTGTATCTCGCTAAATACCGCGCTCACGTTTTGTCTTAATGAGTTTTGCTGATGTTGCACCCATAGCCGTTAATGTTTACCTTAAATTTGCTAAAGTTTTCAATTGATCAAGCATATTATTGTAATTATATGTAATGTGCATTGTAGGGAGATGTGGATGATGAGGCCCCAACTCCCAATGACAGGAAGGTGAGATACACTAATTACTTACTGATTTGTATCTATGCCATAATCTTGTGAGGATATTTATGAAGAACAGCATGTGCAAACAGGCCGTGAATTAAAATGTTCCCTTTTTAATTATGTTAGCTTGCTTTTTCTTGAGTCTTGCCAGTTTGTGAGATGGCTAATTATGAGAAAATGAGCATTATTGGGAAGTCCCCACAAATATCGGCATAAAAGTGTGTGTGTGTGTGTGTGTGTGTGTGCGCATGTGCTGTGCTCTTGGCAATGCATTTAAGTGTTTTCTCCGATGACGGTTTGGACCTCACGGTTAGTGTTAACCAGTGTTACGTGGATGCAACAAAGTATGCTTTAACCGGGCTTTTAGTTAATCGTGGTTTGGATTAGAAAGTAGTTTTGCACAGTATGTCTCTCTATGGCAATGGGTATTCACTCAGTAGTCGGACAGCAATTAAACAAATTTACATTTATATGCAATAATGTAGCTGGAATGGACAAACTTTTCCAAATACTGCATCCCTTATTATTAAATAAAAAACGATAGTTTGTTCAACATTTTTACTTATTTATTTTTTATCAGAATCTGGTTTTTTGTTAGTGTCTGTGTGGCACACAAGGAATTTGCTTCCAGCAGTTGGAATCTCTCCGGTACAATATATATATATACAATATGATATAATAGAATGAAACAGTACAGATTAAATAAAATATAAAATACATCTTATTTACAGACAGACAATGTACATAAAGTGTAAACAACACAGAAGGTGCAAATTGTCTGGGGTCTTAGGTTCGGTTCAGTGGTGTTGTGAGTGGAGCAGGGTGTAGCAGTCAGGGAAACAGGTGTAGGTTGGTGATGCTGATGCCTATATTCTTTTGTGAATTAATACATTTCTACAGGACTAGATGCCACATTCTTGAAATGATAGGCATTAGGAAGGATCTCTGGCATTTATAACCAGTGGAATGCAGCCTGGCATTATAGTAACTGCATTTTTCTTTTTACAATCCGTGTCACATAAATGCATTCAAAATATTTGAACATATGTACAGTGGGTTAAACAGCAATATCTCTGCTTTGCGTAGGCTAATATTTGAGCATTTATTTTAATTTTTATTCTATTCATTTTGGCGCACAGATGTTGCGAAATACGAATCTCTAGTTTTCCAGTCACACGCAACTCGCTCCCAACTACAAGGCAACTAAAAAGTCTTGAGTAAATTATGTGGTAGAGTGACCCAAACCACAAGACACGTAGGCTAGCTTTCACCAGCGCTTTAATCGCTCCGTAACTAGTCACTAAACTGTGCCTGACTTGTAACCAAGGATGGAACCCCCTGCTGTTTCATTGGCTGTCGCTCCGGCATCAATGTCGCAGCACAGATTTGACAGGTTAAGAGTTTCCTGCAGCCATGACTGTATCAGAGCTGACAATCATGCCGTCAAACAGAATGGCTGTAGTCTGTCTTGCTACCTGACTCTGTCAGCATAATGTATGCTGAAGGTGGCCTCAGACCTCTGGGATCCGTATTTGAGTCTCTGCCTTGGTTCCAGGTGTGTGGAGTTTGCATTCTCTCCCCATGTGGTCATGAGGTTTTCTCTGGCTGCTGAGGTAGTTAGCATTAGCATTTTTCCTCATAGAAATGAATGAGTTTTCCCAAAAAAAAAAAGATATGATTGCACGTGTGTGTGTGTGTGTGTGTGTGTGTGTGTGTGTGTGTGTGTGTGTGTGTGTTAGATGAATTGGGGCCCCATCCTGGGTTGTTCCCTACCTTGTGCTTTCAGGATAGGCTGTAAACCCCCGATCTGGAAGACGGATGGACGTTGGTTTTGCCTGTGCTTTCTAGATAATCTGTAACTCTGTTTTTTAGATTTTGTATAATGAATGGGCAAGTTACAGCAGCTTCTACAAGTTCCAGCCTATTGGTCTAGTCAGGTGAGTTCGCATAATACTGTCTTGGCATCGTTATGAGTTTCTCTGTCCTGAAACTATTAACTGTCACTTTTTTGTTTTCCAGAAAATACTTTGGGGACAAGATCGGCTTGTATTTTGCCTGGCTGGGCTTGTACACTCAGATGCTGATTTTTGCCTCTGTTGTTGGGGTCTTGGTTTTCCTCTATGGCTGTATCACAGTCGATCATGATATCCCCAGGTGAGCTTACACTTTACTTACTCGGGAATTTTAATTATAGAAAACGACAAGGCAAACACAGGATGCTGTCAGGGTCGACGGCCGTGCGACCCTGTCCTGTGTGTTCCGTTTCGACCAGCAGGTGTCACTGATCATTCCCCCTCCCTCTTGTAGCCTTCAGCCCTGCTGTGTTTACCTGTTCCCCAGGCCGCTGCGTAAATCAACGGGTTGAGTGTGCAGCTTGGGGGCTGAACCCTCTGGTCTTGAGTTGGAGGCTGGCTGGAGACCAGCTTCACTTGTCATTCGGTGTCTATTGGGTTTTTTTTGTTTCCCTATTGTTTATTATTTATTGTGGTTTAGGTTCACCCTGCTCGTGCCCCGTTTAATTCTGTTCTGTGTCTGTTTATACTTTTGTTCTGAGTCCTCTCTTAGTATTGTAACCCTTAGTGTTCGGTAATATTTAAGCAATAAAATATGACAATGAGTGCGGTTGTACTCCAGTATATCACGGCTGTGATTATCTTCGGCACTTGGCCTGCTGCCTTGTGCCTACAACCGAATCACAGCCATGATATACTGGAGTACCACCGCACTCCTCATATGTTATTGCTTAAATATCACAAAGCAATAAAATGAAATACTACAATTGTTACAATGTGGTTTCTTCTTGTTTTCATGTTCCTGTTTTTGTATTGACGCCTCGAGGTGTCTGATTTTCCCCTTTGTTGTGCTGGTTATTAATAAACCCTGTTGTCTTGTGAGCTGCTGTGGATCGTACCTCCTTTCCCTGCCTTGCTGTAACAGCTGCAAACTAAAGAACTGCAGTCTTCTGTCCTTCAATGACTGGAAAGGTGCTTTTTTTTCTTTAGCTGCAAAATACCTTTTTCTTCTGAGAACTACAAGTTTATTATTTTCGTAGTTCTCAGAGGAGAAAGTAAAATATCTTTCAGTGGACAAGTAATTCGATAACTTTAGGCAGAATATATAGTTGTGTTTTCACACAGGTGTATCAAGTTTTGGGTGGAAAAAAATAAACCTCTCAGCTGAGTTTTGCACTCAGTGTAACCTGCACTAGGCACATTACGTTTGTTAACGTTTTAATTATGTAAAGTATTTTATTATATTGCTCTTGATTGTTTTGCATGAGGGCAGCACAGTGGTGCAATGGCTAGAATGGTCGCCTTATACCTTTAGGTTCTCCAGTCTCCTCCCACAATCCACAAACATGCTGAAATGAACTGGAGTCCCCAGATTCTGTGTATGTGAATGTGGTGTGTGTGCCCTGTGATGGGTTGGCGCTCCGTCCCGGGTTATTCCCTGGCTTCTGGTTGTAACTTCCAGGTTAGGCTCTGAACCAACGCAACCCCCTTGGGTATGGAACATAGATGGATGGATGTTTTAATTTGGATTAAAGTAATACATGAAAAGAAGTATGGAACCACCATTTTGTTATCCAGTAAACCGCTGTGATTTTGCGGCCACTGAGTAATAGTGTATTTTAACCTAAAACATATAATTGTCAAGTTAAGTAGCAACTTGGAAGAGATGCTAATGGGTGTTTTTTCTGTATTATCTACCCAATATAGCATGGAGATCTGCGACAAGAGGAACAACATCACCATGTGTCCGATGTGTGACCGGGCCTGCGGCTACTGGAAGCTAAAGATGGCGTGTGGCACGGCGAGAGCCAGCCACCTCTTCGACAACACGGCAACCGTCCTCTTCTCGGTCTTCATGGCCCTGTGGGGTCAGTATCCTGAGAGCAAGATGAGCAACATCTTCTAAGGGCACTAACACCACCCCTCACACTACAGCTGCAATCGGGCCTTAAAAGTTAGGCCCGACAAGGTCCGAGCCCAACAGAATTTGGCCTGAGCCCATGTAAAATGATAGAAATTAAGTCCGAACCCGACCAAACCCATTGGGTCCCGTTGGGTTCGGGCAAAGATCTTCAGCTCTACCTCACACCACTCGGCAAGCTTCATCACTCGCTCCCCGTACAATATTGGAGACAAAGTGAAAATGGGTGGTGAAGTTTCCCCCCGGGGAGCCTGTGGTGAAGCTTGCCTAGGGCATCACATTTGCTTCAGCTGCACTGTATGTCAATCGGTGTTGTCCCAAGCCGATATCAAAGATCAGAATTAGGGCCAATCCAATTTTTTTTTTTTATTGATTGGTAATCCAAAGCCATGGAGGAGATTCCAGGAGAGAGGCAGTTACTCTAGGAGAGCTGGACAGGGCCGTAGAAGGTCCTTAACCCATCAGCAGGACTAGTATCTGCTCCTTTGTGCAAGGAGGAACAGGAAGAGCACTGCCAGAGCCCTACAAAATGACCTCCAGCAGGCCACTGGTGTGAATGTCTCTGGCCAAACAATCAGAAACAGACTTCATGAGGGGGGCCTGAGGGCCCGATGTCCTATAGTGGGCCCTGTGTTCACTGCCCGGCACTGTGGAGCTTGATTGGCATTTGCCATATAATACCAGGATTGGCAGGTCCGTCACTGGCGCCCTGTGCTTTTCACAGATGAGAGCAGGTTCACCCTGAGCACATGTGACAGACGTGAAAGGGTCTGGAGAAGCTGTGGAGAACATTGTGCTGCCTGTAACGTTGTTCAGCATGACCGTTTTGGTGGTGGGTCGGTGATGGTCTGGGGGGGTATATCCATGGAGGGACGCACAGACCTCTACAGGCTAGACAACAGTATCATGACTGCCATTAGGTATCAGGATGAAATCCTTGGACTCATTGTCAGACCCTACGCTGGTGCAGTGGGTCCTGAATTCCTCCTGGTGCACGACAATGCCCAACCTCATGTGGCGAGAGTATGCAGGCAGTTTCTGAAGGAATTGATACCATTGACTGGCCTCCATGCTCGCCTGACTTAAATCCAATAGAACAACTCTAGGACATTATGTTTTGGTCCATCTGATGCTACCAGGTTGCACCTCAGACTGTCCAGGAGCACATCAGGGCCATACAGACTGCTGAGTACGATTTTGATTTGCTGCAATGGAATCTGATGTGTTTTCAAAGTGTTCTTTTAATATTTTTGAGCAGTGTATTTTTTAAAAGATTGGACTGGAATATATCAGGACATCCCTAATGTCAGTCTATATACCATCCCTTTGTCCCTCTTGCAACTACTGGGGGAGTGTGGAACCTATCCTAGGAAACACAGGGTACCCTCCCCAAGATGTTAATCTAACACAACATACTCACTGTGACATGTCACTTAGCATATCTGCATGTCTTTGGACTATGGGAGAATATGCAAACTGCATACTGAGCAGAGGGGGGGTTCAAATCCCAGGCCCTGGAATTGTGAGGTAATGTCAATACCCACTGAGCCGCCCTGTTAAATGGGTTTTTTTTTTGTTAATTACAGCAGCGTAACATCTAATAGCACATCTTTATTTTAGAGCATGTTAAGTATGTTAAAGAGAATTTATCCTTTTTTTCATGTCTGCTTCCAATGCAGACGGAACTAAAAAAGCAGTTACAGCAAATGCTGGTGTCTTTCTGCAGCCTCCGCGTTCATGGAAAACTGGAAGCGGAAACAGATGAGGCTAAATTACAAGTGGGACCTGGCGACTTTTGAAGAGGAAGAGGTGAGAGTTTGCGACGGCATTCACACCGAAAATGGGTTCATGTGAAGTTTAGCAGCAGGCTTCCTCCAGGTACTCTGGTTTCCCCTCTCAGTCCAAAAACATGCTATGGGGAGACGGAGTTCTCCAGATTGCCCGTAGGTGAGTGTGTGTGAGTGTGTGGATTAGGTTTATATTACATTGTGGGGACCAAATGTGCCCCCACAAATGTAATAACAATCTGTTTTTTTGGGGTTTTTTTGCGTGGGGACCCTTTCTCAGGTTCCCAGAAAGATCTGTGAATGCGATCAAAAAAGTAAAAATTCCAAAAGTCTCAAAAGACATATTTTGTTTTGTTACTTATGGTTAAGGTAAAGGCTGGGTAGGGGTTAGGGGTTAGATTAGAGTTTTCCTCATAGAAATGAATGGAGAGTCCCAACAAAGATATAATTACAAACCTGTGCGTGTGCGTGTGTGTGTGTGTGTGTGTGATGGGTTGGTGCCCCATCCTGAGTTGTTCCCTGCCTTGTGCCAGTAGCTTTTGGGATAGACTCTGGACCCTCCTCGATCCTGCATCGAAAATGGTTGGATGGATGGAGTTTAGTGCCATTTTCAATCTACTTCTTTATATCAAGTGATGATGATGATGATGATGATGATGACAATTGTCCTTTTGTATGTAGAAATCACTGCAGCCCAATCATTTTTTGGCAAGAACATGGCCATAATCTAAAATTTAAATGCTTGAATTTTTTGATGGAAAATGAAATACTGATTTGCAATTTGTTTTTTGGTGTATGTTTTTCGTTTGTGTTCATCTGGATGTCCTGAAGGAATCGCTCAAGGTTTGAAAGATAGCTACTTCTCTGCCAATCGTATGATGGCCACCGGTTCTTTCAGCCTCGCTTTGCTGACTCATTCGACGAGTTTTCTTTTTATGATCTCATTAACGACTTCCCGTTCCTTTTGTTTTTCTTACTCCAATGTTAACTCAATGTTCTTCACTGGTTGACACACCTACTCATTGTCTGGTTATCTGGCTGTCTCTATCTCTGCGAAATCGCTCTTCTTTCAGCTGCTGCAGTACAGAATATGTGACGCTTTATCCGTTCAGCCATTTCTATGGCATATAGAAAAGGTTTGACGAAGATCTAAATATTGCTGTGTGGTACTGCCTGTACCGACTGCACAGTCTCTGCAAGGGAACTAACACTGAATGAATGCTGCCAAACTTGTATGCGATCATGCCATAGTCTGTTCTGTTTTTATGGGAGTCCGTTATGGCAGAGGAACAGATGTATCATATCTCACGTAGGATCACCCACGAGCTGACTATGAGAACAAAGTGAAGGAGAAGATACTTAAGCGAATTGAAAAGAAACCCCATAAAGAGGTAATTGGGCATTCCTGTTCCTCTTCTGATATGCTAACCTCTTGGTATTGGGATTGCTTGTGTCCATAGAACTTGCAATGAACATTTACATATGGTACTGTCGTTTTGTAGACCTCTAAAATTTATATTTATGTTTAGACAAAAACTGTCAAGCTAACATGGAGAGATAGGTGTCCAGCCTATATTACCTTCACCGTTTCAATGTTGCTAATGGTAAGCCTGCATCTATATTCCACATTTATATTCCACGCTTTGTTTCCTAATCCGGTCCACGGGGACCCACAGACACATCATGTTTTTGCTCCCTCCCAGTAGGAAGCTGGGAGGGAGCAAAAATGTGGATTGCCTGTCAGGAAGCTCAGAGGAAGGAAAAACATGGATCAACTCTGGGTCCCCGAGGACTGGATTGGGAAACTCGTAACATGTGTAATAATAATGCTGTATTATCATAAAGCAAAACATTTACATCAAGTGCTGTACCTGCTACAAATCGTGTTCTACATGCTACAATGTACTATTCATGTTCTGGACTTGAATTCTGCCATCTGTCATTTCCTCTTTCTGTTGTGTTCTCCCTCTTCCCCTCAGTTTTTCGTGAGCCTCGCCATTGTGCTCGCAATAGTCATCTACAGGGTCACAACTCAGGCCGCGCTTCAGATGAGCACCGTCTCCACGGCCCGTTCCAACGTGCGGCTGACCGTCGTGTCCACTGCCGTCATCATCAACTTGGTGGTCATCCTCATCTTGGATGAGGTGTACGCCAAAGTCGCAGTCTGGCTCACTCAGCTAGGTCAGCATGGCTGCTGGCGTCACGCACGTCACAGAAATGCCGCAACGTTTATGCAGCAGTGAATGTCAACTAACGGCCTACTTAATTCTAATTGGTGGGGGCCGTGTGTGGCTCACTGGGTTAGGGAACTGTGCCTACGATTGGAAGGTCACCAATTCAGATCCTAGGGTCAACAGAGCAGAGTGTGGAAGGTCACCAATTCAGATCCTAGGGTCAACAGAGTGTGGAAGGTCACCAATTCAGATCCTAGGGTCAACAGAGCAGAGTGTGGAAGGTCACCAATTCAGATCCTAGGGTCAGCAGAGTGATTTCACTATTGGGGCCCTGAGCATTACTCTTAACCTCCTGTTGCCACAGCGATTGTCTGACCCTGCCTCATCTAAATAAATAAATAAATACATAAAATGGTCACTTGACATAAAAGCATCTGCTAAAATAGATGGTAATTAAGTATGAGGCTAGTTTGGGTTGAAAAGATTCTAAAATGTATTGAAACATGCTTTTAAATCTCTTGCCATTCTTTACCTATTAAATTTATTTCTATATAAGCCAGGGGTGTCAGACTACAGTCCTGGGGGGCCGGAGCCCTGTGTAGCTTAGTTCTTTCCTATTCTACCACAAATGATTCAGCTCAAGAGCTGTGTTGTAATTAGCACAAGGAGTTGAATCAGGTGTGTTAAACGAGGGTGAACCAAAAACTGTGCAGGGCTCCGGCCTCCCAGGACTGGAGTTTGACATCCCTGCTATAAGCTCAGTAATTAAAGGTAAATACTCCAATATAATGAATTGCTGTGCCCCTGGTTGAGGTCAGGAGGCCATGACAGGTAAGATGGGGACTGAAGTGCACTACGAGGAGGAGGAAGGAAGGCGTGACCAATAGGAAAAAGCTGAAAAAAGCAAAACACAGAATGTACAAAATAAGAATGAAGTAATTCCGTATCATACACTGTTTCTGTGATGTAGCTGTTTCGTCGTGTGATACTGTCCTCACAGCACTTCCTCTGTTTTCCCCCCAGAGGTGCCAAAGACTGACACAAGCTATGAGCAGAGACTGATCATAAAGACCTTCATCCTCAAGTTCCTCAACTCTTTCAGCCCTATATTTTACGTCGCATTCATGAGGGGAAAGTGAGTATCTAACCTTTCTGTGGTCTTGGATGTCATTTGCATTCCCTGGTTTGAATTATCCATCAATATTTAAATATGTCTGTGGACACATATGGCCTCTCATTTTACTATATCTAAATTCACCTTGTCAGCAGTCACGGAGAGGGGGTGATGTCTTTGCTTGTGTTTTGCTACTGGGGTTGGAAATGATCTCGTTGATGTGTGTCTTCATGTTTACCAATTGTTTATTTAATGAACATTACATTATTGATTAAAATATACATATAGATGAAAAATAAACAGTAAGCTTTCAATGTAGAAAGAAATCTATAATGTAACCCATCATGGTCAGAAACTGTAGGCCTTCCCACCTGTAGGGCTTAAGCTGGGTTCACACCAAGCTGATGGCAAAGAACTGGCCCCAACCAAAGCCGAAGCCTGGTCGATTGTGTAAATGTGCGTTAGAATGCACCAGCACAGGTAGAAGTGACGGCTGACATACAGCCCAGTCAGAGTGCTCCGTTTCACCAGCTAGCTTCAATGCCGATTCAGTGTATGAAATGGGCCAAAATGGCGCTGCCGGGGTCTGATTGTGTCCGCCATACTGTAAGTGAACACTGTAACTATATGTAATGATAATAACGAAACTGGCTCCAGTGTGTGGTTAAAAAGAAATATTGCTGAATTTCAAACCTTTTGCTAAAAGTTCTTCTGTCTGATTTTCTCAAAAGGCTCATTGGTCGGCCAGGAAAATATTTGTATGTTTTGGGATTATACCGGATGGAAGAGGTAAACAACCACCCGTAATTATCAATTAACTGTGCAAAATATCTTACAATAAAAATGCAGGAATATGATGCCGTCATATTGCAAATAACAAAATATGAAGTCATTTTGTATTGCCAGTAACAGCACAGCATTTCCATAAGTATCTGTAGATATTTGTACACTTGACATATAGAAGTGTTTGTCTCATTGCCCAAATATAGTGTGAATTACAGCATGCAGTGATGTTTGCTGCACAAACACACCTGTACACATCTGTGCCAAGTACTGGTATTTGATTGTACAGAGAGTGGCTATTTCCACGTGACTGTAGATTGTTGTAATATAGTACCATGACTGACCACATATTTGGTTATAGTGAATATAAGCAGAGTTTGTCATGGGTCACCCCCTGCCCCCCCCCCCCCCCCCCCCCCCCCCCCAGTGTGCTCACACAGGTTGTTTGATGGAGCTTTGCATCCAGCTGAGTATCACCATGCTAGGAAAACAGCTGATCCAGAACAACCTCTTTGAGATCGGCATTCCGTGAGTACGCTCCCACGAGGTCACCCAGACGGACACTAAGTTGGGTCAGAGCTTATATCCAGTAGGGAAGGTTTTTAATGACTTCATAACACCACGCTACAGTAGGTAGCTGATGGTGCATTAAGGGTCATTACTCATTAGATAAATGCACATTTACTTCAAACCTTTGTTCTGTGTTCCTTTGAACGCATGCAACAATATAGATTAAGATATACAGAACATAAAAATTTGACATGGCGGGAATTCCACAAAGCAGGATTTTTATCCAATTGCCAGGTAACTTAAGCCATATGTAAGGACTGTCCAATAAGAATGTCACTTACCTGTCGTCCTATTGGGCAATTTTCACATTTAGCTTAAGTTATCCAGCTAACTGAGATTTTTTTTGTGTGTTACACCCCCCCCTGGTGGTGGTGTTGATGTTTAATATTTTCTTGATATTCCATAATATTTTGTTTTCAGGATATTATATTTGTTTGCTTTATACTTTTTAATTTGTTGTCACAAACTACGTGTTTGCACTGTGTTTTACACAATATGTTATGCTGCTTTATGCATAACAATTTCCCATCGGAATCAATAAAGCTTCACTTATCTTATTTGATGTAGCCGCTTTCATTACTGTTGTTGTCGTCGCTATGATCCCCAGCAAACTAAAGAAGCTGATAAAACGCTTCAAATCAAAGCGGGAGGCTGGCCAGCAGGACCCTTTTAGCGGTAATCTGAGGCGCTACGAGAAAGACCACTTCCTTGAGCCTTTCGGCAGTCTGAACCCCGAGTACATGGAGATGAGTAAGTTTGGGGTTAGACGCCTGATAAACCATATGAAGGGTTGGGACGGTGCTCGTATTTTCGTATTTAGCAACACAATCTCCTGCGCACATATAAGTGGGAGTAGAACTGTACACAGCAACACGACATGTATCATATACATTATGCAGCGATACACTTTCTATACTTTTTATTTGGATTTGCAGTGACTGTGAGAATGTTAAATATTTTAAATATTGATATAGTCTCATAAGTGTATATTTAACACACTTCATCTCCTCTGCCACTTTCTCATTCAGGATTCAATGGTGACCTGTAGAAAATGGATACAAAGACGATAGTATGTTTACATGTCTATCACATTTCAGGCATAATTCCCTCTCCTTGCAGTTATCCAGTATGGCTTTGTGACTCTCTTCGTGGCATCCTTCCCATTGGCGCCAGTGTTTGCCCTTTTAAACAATGTCCTGGAGATTCGTCTCGATGCTAAGAAGTTTATTGCTGAGCTGAGAAGACCTGTACCTGCAAGGGCCAAAGATATTGGTGAGATTCTACCCTCTCCAAATTGCGATCCTGAAGAACCATGACAGATATCATTTTACTGCCAACCTGAAGGTAGCTAGCTAGGCCTGTCAGCCTGTGTGCAGCAAAGGTGTTTTTGTAGCTGGGTTGCATTTGTAGTATATTTGCATTCTGAGCGTTTGAGTTCACCATCAAAGTCTAGCCAAGCAAAATAAGTTTTTAAATAAAGGCAAATCAATTTGATGCTATTTGTTGTTGCTTTGTTTTTTTTCCCTTCGCGTTCTTGTTGTTTACACCTCGATAACATATTAATAACGCGATGCCATATGTCTCATCTCTTTGATGATAATTCTAGAAATCATTGAACACGTTCATGTAACACAGCACCTACATTTTGGTTGCGTATCTGACCCATATATGTTTAGTTATTTAGGTATTTTAATGGAGCTAACTTAAGTACAGGCAGCTCTTGACTTGCATAAAACTGACATTATGAAGTCAATCCGGACTTGTGCAAGAAATATCCAAGATACATAGTGTTTATGGAAGCACTAACACAATAAAGGCGATATGTAACATATGTATGTGCCTATAAGTAAATTGACATTTTATCTTTCCATTTGTTCTTTACTAGGTATTATTATTTTTGGCTCGTGTTTTTGCTATAATATGCCTTAAATGGTACGAGAAGGTAAACATGATGTGTAAAAATTGACTTATATAATGGTTTTTGGAACAAATTATTCACATCTGTTGGGAGCTGCCTGCACTTTCCTTATGGGCCACCCTGTAACTCCTGAAACTGAGATGCAGTTGTGTGGCGCTGATAAGTAGCTCAGTGAGTTAAGATACTATCTCAGTGATCAAAGGATTGTTGGTTCAAATCCCCTGGCTGGCAGAAATGTTACTGTTGGGCCCTTACTTGTCAATTGCCTGACAGACCAGCTGACTCTTTCTCAGTTTTTACGTTTCTTTGGATAAAAGCATTTGGTTACGTTAATATACATCTATGCCCTAGGCTACCTTTTAGGATCTGTTAACCATAAAATAATTATTTAAATCTCGTGTGTCCCAAATTAACAATGTGTCAAACTAGCGGAATATTGCAGTGGGTTTTGTTGCAATCATCTCTTCTGTTTTTGCTTTAGGTATTTGGTATAATATTCTCAGTGGACTCAGCAAAGTCGCCATTGTTGTGAATGTAAGTGAACAGGATGGAATAAAAGAATAGCAGTCACTTTGCTGTACATTACACACTAGTTCTGGGTATTTTTTATTATTGTTTATCTTTGTTTTATCTCTTTACACCCTGTTTAACAGCCTTGGAGTTGGGCAACCAAGTATTTCACAACATATTATATTCTAACTGTGTATGTGACAGAACTTTGATTGATAATTGAGATTATTTATTTATTTATTTTAAGTTGCATATCTTCATAATCACATTTAAAGGCTGGATTGTTTTCTTAGGCTTTCGTCATCGCATTCACATCTGACTTCATCCCACGCCTGGTGTACCAGTACGGGTACAGCCCCGATGGAACCATGCATGGCTTCATCAACCACACCCTGTCATACTTCAACGTCACCCACTTTGAGCCTAATACAGATCCTCTACAGCCCTTTCATCTGGGCTATCAGGTCAACGTTTGCAGGCACGAGTCTGACCGTCTCTTCTGATGCATTTGGGGATATAACTTTTTATTCTCAAATTCCATTAAAACCTTATATTCTGTGCATTCACCTTTTTTGTACACAATACACTGCTAAAGGTTTAACAAAATATTGTACACTGCTTATGTGATAGTAAGCAGGATTAACTTTAATTTAACGAATTTCTTCTACATCTCAGATTCAAAGACTACAGACTTGCACCTTGGTCAAAGACCCCATATGAAGTCTCCAAGATCTACTGGGCTGTCCTAGCTGCCCGACTGGCGTTTGTTATTATTTTCCAGGTGTTGATCTTTTTCTGTTAAGATATAATTGCTCCTCTCACTTTTGCTGCCGTTTTCCAGTTTATGAATCTGAATATAACCTTATTTCAGAATATGCCCCATTGTTTGAGACGTTTTGGTAATGAGGTAGCTGTGTTTTTGTTCTAAAGATATCCATCACTTCTCCCCCAGAATGTAGTGATGCTGATGAGCGACTTTGTGGATTGGGTGGTCCCGGACATACCCAAGGAAGTCACCATTCGCATCTATGAGGAGAAGAAGCAAATGGTGGAGTTCTTCCTGAAAGAGGAGCAATGCAAGACACAAAGCCTCCCCAACATCGCCCCAGAGGGCGACAGGGATCAGAGCAACAACCAGGCGTACCCACAACGTTTATAGCGCCCCCTACTGTCTGTCTGTGTGTGCTCAGTCTCTCTGGTATTTAAGATGAGTGAATGTGGGGCAGGAGAGGCATTGACTTCACTTCCTCAGCCTTCTTTTCCTCCAGCGTTACTGTCAGTCACAGTCAGCCTGCTGCACATCACAGAACTGGGGTCTCACTACATTGCAGCACATAAAATATTTAAATATTTGCAAACAAGGTGAAATCCGTCCCCATTTTGATCTTAAGGTGGGAGGCATGAAACCTGAAAGCTTTTTAAAAGTGTATAAAGAATAAAAAAAAGCATGCAATTAAAGATAAATAAATAAAAACTTGTATATAAATATGTCCATTGAATATTCAGTGTACCAATACGGGGATGGAAATTGAAATGATTTTCAATATAATGATTATTTGAAGACATTCATTCTCTAACAATGCAAGCCAGACTGGATTTAGTGTAAATGTGAATATAAGTTTACTAAAGGCTTAATTTTCTGATCTTAACACACACCTTGAATTACAGTTCAAAAATGGCTCAGGAATAAAGGGCTCCCCCTGTTGGTCAATCAAGGCCACTATAGAGAATTTCTACCCATCTACAGTACTAACCACTTTTCCTGCTCTGGTCCACAGGGTGGCCTTGAACCTATCCCATGCAGTAGGGCATGAATCCTCAATGCTGGAGGTGTTAGGCAACAGTGTGACTTATTGAGCCACCATGTTGCTACAGGGCATTTGTTACAGGCAATCAATTATTCTTTGAGATGTATGTGCAATCAATCACAGCTGACTGTTAAAACCAGTTCCTGCATAATTTTGTTTACCTGTTAGTGCAGCCGTCGCTGTGTAGCATGTTTAAATCCAGACCAAATAACGACCTCGCTGTGTTCCATCCCTGTAATTATATAGTAGCATGATTTATTGTCTTGTAACCAACATTCAATTTCAAGCACTCTGTTTTACTGCAAGCATCAAGAGACATCAGAAGTTGTAAAAACATCATTCTCAGGCATTTCTGTTTGCTCCCTCCACCTATTCTGCTTATCCAGCCAAAAATGGCGGTGCTTTTACGGTATTTGCTTAACTGTTAAAAGCTTTTCTACACTCCCAGCAGTTTAGTCACTTTCAGTTAGTCCAGTATTTTGGATTAACCTACCATTTGCCTGTTGGTTTTCGCTTTCATTTTCTATGAATGTGCTAACAATTTAATAATAATAATAATAATAATAATATGTCCTTTTCATTTTCTTGTTTCTTATATGGTTGCTGTTTCCTTTACCAGCATTTGTTTACATACATCTCTTTTGTATATTTTTCAGGGGTAATAATACTATTATAAATTGATGTTTATTCTATCGTATGTTTTTCAATAAAGGCATTTTGAAGCGTAATTTACATTTTATACCAAAGCTCTCTATTTCTTTAATTACATATTCAAAATATAATTTTGATAAAAAAAAGACATTTATATTTTTTGTTAGTATGCCTCTGTTCTTTGTAGATTTTAATGGCATATATCTGTACTACAGATATGTAGGACTGTATATGTAGATGACAGCTTATTCTATCTTGGAGTGACAGCCCTACACATGTAATGGTGTGTAAACTGCTGCAGTAAAGGTAAAATACCAAACCATTTCACCTGTAACACAACCACAAGTCTTGTTTTCTGAGAAAATTTCAAGAAAATACATTTTTTATAGTTGCTATGCCCTTTCACAAGCTTGTGTTGTTACAACGTTTGCAGAATTTTAACTGTTTATTGGGGTACTAAAATTGGTGTTTATTCTATAGCATGTTTTTCAATAAAGGTATTTTGAATCAATTCATATTTTATATAGAAGCGCTCTATTTCCTTACATATTCCAATATATATTTTAATTAACTTTTCTATCAGTATGCATCTGATCTTTGTAGAAAACGTAGATTTTAAAATGTATAGTATACAGCTGTGCTTTACAGATAATAGATATATATATACAAAATGTTATTCTATCTTAATTGGAATGACAGAGCAATGCACATCTAATAGTGCATAAACTAGCACAGTAAAGGTACAATACCAAACCATTGTATACTTGTAATACAAACACAGATCTTATTTTCTGAGAAATCCAAATTAAGAAGAACTACAGAACTTCTTATATATTATTGTGCATAAATAGACTTTTTGAATTAATGTTAAAAAAGTATATCAGACTGAAACAACAATTGATGTAGATATCCAAAATCATGTCTCTGGCCATAATTCAATATCTGATTTTTGTATCTCAAATTTAACATTACAACTAAATTAAATTTAGTTGTAATGTTTGAAATCAGTCATAGAAATTTAATAAAAATGGATTTTGTAGGTGCTGATATAAACAAATTAATACAATTATAGATACAAGGAACTATAATTAGTGCAACATGTACTGTAGCTGAATTACAAATGTATAATCAGAGTGATACATTTGTACAACAGTATATGATGGTAATTCCTAAGGTGCTTTCCCACTTTTCTTCGGTATGCTTGTGACGTCAGAGGTGACTAACATCCTGAATTTACGACGCGCTTTCATAACAACAAACAGAAAAGAATACCAAACATCACTCTTCATTTGGTTTTAGGCTTGTTTTAAAATGAATTTTTACAAATATTTTCCAGCGCATTTAATATCCCTTTTATAACCCAATATTTCACAAACGTAGTGAAGCTTAATGCATGTCCATGCCGGCGGTTTGTTTCGTGACCCTGAAATTAAGGTCTACAGTAAAACCCCATCACGCCTGCTTAAGAAATTCCACCTTTAGGTGACAAGCAACCCTGCACTGGAGATGTGAACCAAATGTTAAATGTTCCCAGGTCGTGCCTCGAGTCACTGAAGTCACTAGTGAAATATGCGTACTGTCTCTTTAAAATATTTTTTGACGAAGGAAAGGTCGACGAGGAAGTGAGTGCAACTAAAACTATGTTGTACATGTGCTACTTTAGAAAAACTGGCTAATTAAGTGTCATTAACATATACAGTACAGTCGCGTTAATTGAATTTACTTCTTTTTCTTGAGACAGTATAATGCAACAATGAATTCATCGCCGAGTAAAAAATGAAACTAAATCGTAAACCGGAAAATCTTCGTTGAAACAGGATTTTGCACCGTTAGTAAAACTTTAGAAGTCGTTTTCAAATAGTGGGTTTTTCTTAAATTGTATTTTTCTCCTAGGGCACAGAGAAGATGGATACGTTTGCCTCCGTGCTGTTACGAATTTCTGATGGTTTGAAAAAAGATCATTTGGAAGCCATGAAGTTCCTGTGTAGTGATGACATAGGGAAGAAGAAGCTGGAGAAAGTGGACAACGGGATACAGCTTTTCCAGTACCTTCGAGAAATGCAGAAGATCGGAATGGGAAACACACAGTATCTCCGTACCCTTCTGACAAACATTAAAAGGCCCGATCTTCTCGAGATACTGGACGAATTTGAGAAGCATGGTTCCGGGCCGCAGGAAGATCTACCTGACGCTAAGGAGCAAGGTCGGTGTTTAAGGTGCCAGGCAGCGAACGTTATCATGTGGGGACAGTGTGCGATTAAAGCTTTCCTGCTGTTCTGGTCATCCATGCATACCCGAAAAAAATTGAAACCAAGGTTGTATTATCCCGCCCCCCATGGTGGCTAGTTATGGTAGTTAGTTTTGTTATGAATGATTGGTTACTGTAGATTAATGCACGTTCAGTAATGTGAACAATACTTAGTAGTTATCAAAACATGTTAATTACACAGCGTCTGAAAATATGATTTCATTAGTCCGTGTAGACTGAAACGGGGTTGTCTTCATGCCGAGTTTAACTTTAAGGGATCGTAGTAAAAGTGCACGCGTAAAACACCGGCATACCTTTTAGGGATGTTCTATTTTGACCTTAGTATGATATCTGTGAGAAATGGAAGTAGTATATGCAGTACAATGTGCAAATATTTAACGGACTATATTGTTATAAACTACTAGCTTCAAGGTAAAATCCTACGTGAAAGACTTTGCTTCATAATAGTTTCTTAGCTACATTTTAAAAAAATCTTAAAATGAAACCTTGGTTTTAGATACGTATACTTTAGAGTATTTTCTGAAGAGAAAATTGTTACCACTGCTTCCTAGATATCTGTAACCATACATAGTACAAATACTGACATTTTTCACATTTTTAATACGTAAAGTAAACTGCAGCTTAATTTTGTATGGCGTAGTATGGGGAGTTTGTTGAATACATACTTTTTTACATCAATTTTTAAATTTCAGACAAACTGGATATTGCTACACAACTTATTGCTGAAAATCTAGGAAAAGACTGGCGGATGTATGGGAGAAAACTTGGAATAAAAGATGCTAAACTGGATCACATAAGGGAGAAACACCCATACAATCTACAAGAACAGGTCATTGAGCTCATCCAAGAATGGAGGAAAATGCATGGAGCCAAAGCCAGTGCAGAAGACTTAATTCAAGCTCTTCGGAAGTGTAATTTAAATTTAACAGCTGATCTCATACGACAGAAGCTTTCCTAATGGGAGGAAGGGAATTTTTTTTTTATTTCTTTGTATTGTGATTTCACCTTCATTTTTGTGCTCTGTGTTAATGCATCATCAGCCAGATTTTGCAATGTATAATTATATTAATTTCAAAAATTAGACCCGTAGACTTGGCAAAGGCCTTTTTTTATATATAAAATTAGTTATGATGGCAATGATCTTTGATTCTGGTACTTTCGTTGTCTCACTATAATAATATGAAAAGTAATATAAATTTGCTGTTTATTTTGGTCATTGATTTTTATTTTTTGAGTAATATTTAGGTCAGTAGCTGCTGGGTAGTCAATTTTGTTTACTGATCTGCAGTCCTTATGTTTTCTGGGATAAATCTATACTGTTTCATATAAACTCCCACTCCCCACGATCTTTTTCCCAATCACTCACCTAAAAAATAATATAATAATATAATACTTATAATAATATCTTGTCAGTTTAATGTTTTTGTGACTTTTAGTTGGGCCTGGGGTGTGTATAAGGTGAAGATACATCTGAAATGGATTTGAATCCAGTTGCTCTAACTGGGAAAACACGTTGTGTATGAAGTTGATGCTTCTGGCCACTCTTTAAGTCCTTCACAGGACGCTTGTCATACATCTGCCGCTGGTAAGTGCAACAAGCTAGTTTGTGCTAACCCCCCTCCCCACCCCAACATACAAACATAAAATGCTAAAAAGCATGGGGGGATCCATTGAGCCAGCTGAGTTATAGGATAAAATCATTGCGTCATTTTTGCAGTATTTCACAGAAGTTATGTGCAATGGCATTACACTGGACACCCAGACAACACCAGTGGGCAATGGAGGGCAGATCAGTGTGGGTTATGTGCCAATGAGAATGGTGAGCACCCGGCAGGGGGGGGCTGTAGTGTGATCATATGTGAATCAAGGGAAATGAAATAGATTTACTGGTGAGCATCCAAGAAGTAACCTCAATCTTTGCCTTGGATTTTATTTTTAAATAATTTACATGATAAATTTGAATGTATGTTAACTGACTGGTAGGTCATTTTTCATCATAATATTCATTCTGTAGAAATAGTCCAACAGACAAATTATTTTATATAAGTCGTCATTTAATATATATATACTATGAAAGTAAATTACACTGGATTGTTAGCTATGCATGGTGCATTTGAGTGAAATGTTTGCGTTAGATGCAAGGCAGAAGAGATGTTTCAGAGATTGTCATTTTAATATGTGCTTCACTTGTTTTATAAATAAATACAAAAAAAAATCACATAGGTCTTTATTTTAAAAGTTGATCATTCATTTTTCGCACTTTACATGTAATGTAAAAATTAGCATTACATGTATACTCTTAGTGTCATTCGAAGGAATGTAACTAAATGTTATACAGACACTCCTCTACTTACGAATGAGATGTGTTCCGAACGGCTGTTCATAACTTGAAATGTTTGTAAGTCGTTATTCAACATTATTTTAAGGGTATACGCAAGTACAAAGAAGTAGGATGCTGGGAGTATGCATGCTACGCTGCTGCGCGGCGGGAGTAGCGGCCAGCAGTCGTACTAGGCGGAATTGGCACGCAGAAAAAAAACTTGATGTTGCGGACAGGAAACGGGAGCCCAAGGAACACAATTTGGACTTACAGTCCTCTTCGTTCGTATGTCTGAAACTTCGTAAGTTGAAAGGTCGCAAGTAGAGGAGCGTTTGTACTTGTAATGCATTTTCACTAATGCAAAAAAACATGAAAATTCACAACAGGCTCAAGACCAAGCCTTGTTTTGATTCAATCAGCTCTAAAAAGTGCACCAAACAGAGATGATAGTTTGCTTATGAGGTCTGAATTCTAGATTTTCTCTTCTAAAAAATAAATAGCTTTGCAACCCATACAAAGCAGTCACTGCTCTGTGCATTTTTTATGAGTCATTTTAAGGTGTCGCCAACACTGTTATTGATGATGTTGTGATTCTGAGATGATTTGTTTGAAGGTTGTTGTTGTGATGGGACCTCATCTCCCTTCCACCCTAATCCCCTCCCCCAAGGCAACAATTTCACCTCTTTAAAATCTTCAGCACATTACGTTTAATTATGGGTGTGTAATTTCATCATAAGTAGTTGTCATTAATGTTTAAAAATGGTCAAATTATCCATAATTGTCCTTTGCAATTGAAAAGCCTTCATTATATAGAAATAAATATTTACGGTAATCTGATTCTCAGATGTGAAACCCTTGACAGTGCAAAGATATTTATCTATATTTAAGGATGAGATGGAACTCTCCATGGGAAAAAAAAATCTGCAGTTTTCTTTTTTTGATCCCCAGAAGAGAATTAGACCCCCCCTTGCAGAACGTTTCTAGGGGTAATTAACCATGATAATAAAAGCTTGGCTATGTAAGGCCTGGTCAGATATAATGCATATCAGGTAGGACACTGTTCTTTGAGCAAGAGGATAGATAAGAAATAAATCTTAGACTTCAGATTGACTTTCAGTTTCTTTGATGCCTTCTGTCAATACAGGTTCTTTGATAACATGCCTTAGGGTGACTCATCTTTGTAGCGTATATGACAGTTTGATTGACAAGATGAGAAACTTGGTTTGTATTGTACAAAGGGATTGTTACACTGATTGAAGATCATGAATGTGCCTAATCTATCAGGAGCTTCAAGAATCTCTCTGCTGTTGCACTTTGGACATCAAACTTACGGTACAGTAACTAATGCAGGCATAATTAGCTTTCTTGCTAAAATGCTATGTGACCACTTCAGTGCAAACATGTGGCATTGGTGGGCACCATTGATGAAATAGGTCCTCAGAATCTGGTTGCCATGATCAGAAACACGGTGAAAATATTTAATGTTTACTTTCACAATCAGGTCAAACAGGTCATGCTCATTTAATGTTGAAAACTGGCTCAAGTACGATTTATTCTTCCTTACATAAAGCTTTTATGCTTAAGATAACATTTTTGCCGACAAAAGGACATTCGTCACACAATAGCCACATTGACAACAGCATCTCGATAGAAATATTCTATCTGAACGGTTGTATTCTCTTATTTTCACCCTTGTCTGCATGTGCTCTTGATTTTCTTCTTTTGGTGAAAGTCTCCTTGATTTGTGCTCTGAGTCATCTTTCTTATTCTTGTTGCAAGTTAGTTGGTAAACTTAGGTAACTCCCCAAATCCTTCCTACAAATACCATGTCCGTGAAATATTTAAAACAATTAACAGTTTACGCCAGCATAGTTTGCTTCTTTTCTGTTATTTTGCGAGCAATAACAAACACATTACCGTTCACCCTACTAAGTTTTTTTGCGGGGAAAAAAAGTAGCTGTCACAGTATTTTTTCCACCCAATTTGTTCCATGTTTTAAAACACTGCTTTGTTTGTTGTTAAGTTCCTGTAAAAACACACAAAAATGGTTAGAGAGCACCATTTTAACAGTAATTCCATTTAAAAATGTGTCCTCTGATGGTTCAGTCTGGATTGCATTGAACATTGTACCCCAGATTCTGAGCACGTGGTTTGTTTTTTTTATAATTTTATTTTCATCCAGGTCACTTTGTCATGAAAGTCATAAAGAAAAGGTATCATAGGCTGGAGAAAATGGAAGCCTTTGATGATTGGTGCATTTCCTTGTCTGTCACACAGTGCCGTTTTCATGGCTGGGCTTTTGCAGCACTGTTTGAGGTGTGCTAAGGGATGGTGCTAATGTACACAGAAATCCAGCCAGCAGGGTAAGGCCCAGTCCACCCCAGGCACAGAACATGGACCAGCCATAGCCATGACTGATATCTTCAGGTAATCCGTACATGTATCTTGGGTAACGGGACAGCTCGAAATTGATCCCAGCCACGCAGGTGCACAAGGAAATTATGCAGCAGGTACCTATTGGTGAGATAAGAGGGGAAATGCATAAATACACCAGGCTAATTACTCCAAAAACAACCTGTATGTATCTGTGTGTAGTGTGTGTGTACATATATATGTGTATATATGTATGTATACTGTATGTATATATGTATGTATATATGTATACTGTATGTATATATAGGTATATGTATTATGTGTGTGTGTGTATTATAATATATATTTTACAGACACTCCTCATTTAAAAACCTACCTTTTTAACGACTGCCTGGACTTGCAACCAGCTCTCTGGCCAGTCAATATTGTACACTGTACAAGAACTTTGGTCGTGGAAACGGTAGCAAGGCGTCTCAGCGTCATCACCTTCTCTCAGTCTCATTCTCATTCTCGTTCCTGCAGTCAGTCAGTATTCCCTATACTAGCATTTGCAATCACCAAGACTACAGAAAAGCTGTTGATGGCTTTAACGCTTTCGTCGGAGATCCTGCGTAATCAGAGTATTAGTGATAAAATCATCGAGAAAGTCGGCTACCGTCCGAAACTGTCTGATTACCTGTATTTACAGTATGCAGACCTAAGTAATGTATATTAGAGTTGATTTCCTCTGTTCTGTTTTAGAGTATACAGAACATAACTGTATAAACATTTATAAATATACTAAAAATGAAGGGGCGGCTCCTCAATTATTGACCAATTAGCATAACGATCTTGTCGTAGGAAGGGAACTCGGTTAATAATATATATACACACACGCACACACATATGGTTCTATATATTGGACAGTCAAACAGAATTATTTTTAAATGATCTTCATTTTGGTGTAAAACTATGGTGCTATGCCTGTCCAAGTGTGTCAGCTTAGCCATTTCAAAACCACTTCTAAAGTTACTCCAGTATTTGCAGGAACCATACAATATACAATATACACATGTAGTTTCTGACTTGACCCCTAGCATACCACATTTAGCTAATTAATTAATACCACATCAAATTGTTTCACTAATTAAGTTAATTAGTTAATTGAACTGGTGGTGAAATACATTAGTGGCCAAGGTTCTGCTAATCCGCTAACTGCTTTTTTGTTAATGGAGTGTTTCTGCCAGCTTTGGAAACCATTAGTAGCATCTGCTAAATTTAGTTCCACTAACTGTAAAACTGATAACATTTTTTTGCAGGTAAAGCTAATTTAGTTTAAAGGTCAAAAATGTTTGTAAATCCTAAAACCGCACATATTTGTTCCAGTCTATTGTGAGTCTGTCTGCAACAATCTACCTGGCATGCTGTTGGCCGACTGCTTGTAAACGGAAGACGTGATTGGTCGATAACTTGTATTTAAGGTAGCTGGGCTAAATGCAAGTGAATGAAGTTAAAGTCCATTTAAGCAGCAGAGAACTGGGGCCTGTATCACGGAGCTGGATTTATTGCTTATTCATATAACTAAATCGATTTGTGGATAACAGACTTAATTTGTGCACAGTGACATTGGTCTTAGTTTGCTTTTAAACATATTATATGATTAAGGGTACATATTTGAATTATAAAAATTTTGTCTGGGCTAAGGTAGCTACTATGAACTGGTACTCAGGAAATTCATTAGGATATTTGGGAACTTGGGGGAACCTGAAGAGCCCCATCTGTCTTTCCGCCATGTCTGGTTGGCTGGACTCAGAGTCCCTTACAGGCACAGCTTAGCTGTGGCACCATACGGTGCCGCCTGAGTGATTCTGTGCCCGTTCTTGCTACAGATACGATGGGAATCGCTGCCCACAAAGACGGCAGGAAACAGGAGCGCGCGCGATTTTATTAGGTTGCCCTGTACGGCGTCTTTGCGAAAGGCCCTGCAGGGCGACCTGTTCCATCTAGCCTCATCTCAAGATACCTACCCCACCCCAGCCCCCCCCCCCCCCCCCCCCCCCCCCCCCCCCCCCCACCCCCGAGCAGTGAGCGTGAGTCACGCAGGCGCGCCTGGCAAGGTCCCTCTCCCGCTGCAGCTCTGTGGACGCTGTCCCAAGCTCTCGCGCAGGACTTATTCCTGCCCAGTGTGCTTTACACATGGCTGCCACAAGCAACTGCGGCGAGACATAAATAGATCACGGCGACGCTTTCGTCGGGCTGCTGTGAATGCACATTCACTCCAGCCATGTCCCTGGGGGGGTTAATTAAGCCCCTTACTTCTGGAAAGGCACCTAGCCAGTACTAAATCTCAGGGCAGAAAAAAAAACAACTTCCCCCCCCCCCAACTGAGATAATCTATGGAAGGATCCCTGCTATAAAGCCGACAGTGGGAATGTTGTCAATAACTGCGGAAAAATTTCAATTACTAACATGCTAATCTGAAAGGAACTGTTTGGGCAGAACGTTTCAATGTTTACAAAAGACAATTATTGTGACATGTACCTTAAAATACTCAACAAATCAAAAG